TCCTGGTTAAGTGAACTATGTATAGTTACCTTGGACTAAAAGCATATGTGTTACTCTTTGAGCCTCAGTTTTCTGATCTGAAAAATGGGGATAACGCCACCTTCCCTGACTACCTCAGAGTTGTGAAAAAAATCACATGAGATAATAGATGTTAAACGGTTGTTAGCTGTAAAGCCTTATTTAAAAGAAAACTATTAGGACACCTGGGTAGTGCAGTGGGTTAAGCATCAGATGCTAGATTTTGGCTCAGGTTGCAATCTCAGGGTCATGAAATCAAGCCCCGCATTGGGTTCCACGCTCAGTGCAGAGTCTGCTTGAAACTCTCCCTCTCCCTTTGCCCCTTCCCCCACCCCCACACTCTCACACGCGTGCTCTCTCTCTAAAATAAATAAATAAATCTTTAAAAGAAAACTACCATTTTTAAATTTTTTTTATTTTTAAAGATTTTATTTATTTATTTGACAGAGAGAGACACAGCAAGAGAGGGAACACAAGCAGGGGGAGTGGGAGAGGGGGAAGCAGGCTTCCTGCCGAGCAGGGAGCCCGACGCGGGGCTTGATCCCAGGACCCTGGGATCATGACCTGAGCCGAAGGCAGACGCTTAATGACTTAGCCACCCACACGCCCTGAAAACTACCATTTTTATGAGTTCATTATACCTAACTATGAGAATTCAGTTATATGTCATTTAAAAATTTATTTATTTATTTATTTTTTAAACTCCAGTATAATTAACATACAGTGTTATATTAGTTTTAAGTGTAAAATATAATAATTCATCAGTTCTGTACATTACTCAGTGCTCATCACAAGTATACTCTTAATCCCCTTCACCTATTTCATCCATCTCCCCACCCACCTCCCCTCTGGCAACTACCAGTTTGTTCCCTATATATGAGTCTGGTCTTTTTTTTCATATTTGTTTAGTTTCTTAAATTCCACATATGAGTGAAATCATGTGGTATTTGTCTTTCTTTGACTGACTTATTTCACTTAGTGTTATACTCTTTAGCTCCACCCATGTGTTGCAAATGACAAGATTTCATTCTTTTTTATGGCTGAGTATTATTCCACTGTATGTATACCACATCTTCTTTATCCATTCATCTATGGATGGACACTTCGGTTGCTTCCATATCTTGGCTATTGTAAATAATGCTGCAGTAAACATGGGGGTGCATATATCTTTTCAAATTTGTGTTTTCATTTTCTTTGGGTAAATGCCCAGTGATGGAATTACTGGATCATATTGTGATTCTATTTTTAGTCTTTTGAGCAACCTCCATACTGTTTTCCACAGTAGCTGCACCAGTTTGCATTCCCACCAACAGTGTATGAGTGTTCCTTTTTCTCCACATCCTTGCCAACACCTTTTGTTTCTTGTGTTGTTGATTTTAGCCATCCTAACAGGTGTGAGGTGATATCTCATTGTGGTTTTGATTTGCATTTCCCTGATGATTACTGATGTTGAGCATCTTTTCATGTGTCTGTTAGGCCATCTGTATGTCTTCTTTGGAGAAATGTCTGCTCGTCTTCTGCCCATTTTTAATTGGATTATTTGGGGGATTTTGCTGTTGAGTTGTATAAGTTCTTTCTGTATTTTGGATATTAACCTCTTATTGGATATATCATTTGCAGATATCTTCTCCCACTCAGTAGGTTGTCTTTTTATTTTGTTGATGGTTTCCTTCATTGTGTAAAAGCTTTTTATTTTGGTGTAGTCCCAATAGTTTAATTTTGCTTTTGTTTCCCTTGCCGGAGGGGATATATCTAGAAAAATGTTTCTATGACAGATGTTAAGACATTACTGCCTATGTTTTCTTCTAGGAATTTTATGGTTTCAGGTCTCACATTCAGGTCTTTAACCCATTTTGAGTTTATTTTTGGGTATGGTGTAATCAAGTGGTCCAGTTTAATTCTTTTGCATTTAGCTGACCAGTTTTCCCAACACCATTTGTTGAAGAGACTCTCTTTTTCCCATTGCATATTCTTGCCTTTTTTTGTCATAGATTAATTGACTGTATACTCATAGATGTCACTTTTTAAAAGATTTTATTTATATATTTTGAGAGAGAAAGAGAGTGTGTGACCAGGGGGAGGAGCAGAGGCAGAGGGAGAGAGAAAATCTTAAGCTGACGCCATGCTGAGCACAGAGCCCAACATGGGGCTTGATCTCACCACCCTGAGATCATCACCTGAGCCCAAATCAAGAGTCAGATGCTTAACCAACTGAGCCACCCAAGCCGCCCCTGCCCCTATGTCATTTTTAAAACCAGTACATCTCTATATACTATTTGATGTTGTTATATTGGTCATGTTCATTAAAATCACCTGAGAAACAGAGGGCAGTTAAAAGTCATTTAAATAAATAAAACTTAAAACCATATAAATATAAATAAAAAATAAATTGTGAAATAGTAAGCATAGTCTAAAAAATCCAAAATTGTGAGTTGGACCTGTATGGTTTTGTTTTGTTTTGTTTTTGGTAACAGCCTTATTGACAGATAATTCACATAGTGTGCAATTTACCCATTTAAAATGTACAATTTATTGGCTTCTAGCATATTCAGAGTTATGCAGTCATCTCCACAATCAATTTTAGGGCATTTCATTACCCCCAAAAAAACCTTGCAACCCATTGCAGTCACCTTATATTTCCCCTATCGCCACCCACCCTAGGTGCTCGCTAATCTACTTTATATCTCTATAGATTTGCCTGTTCAGAGATTTCATATAAATGGAATCATATATATGGTCTTTTGTGACTACCTTCTTTCATTTACATGTTTTCAGGGTTCACCCATGTTATAACACATCTCCGTGCTTCATTCCTTTTTATTGACAAATAATATTCCATTTCATGGATATAGCACATTTTATTTATCCATTCATTAGCTGGTGGATATTAGGTTATTTCTACTTTTTGGCTGAATGTTCTCCAATCTTATTAAAAAATGCCAAATTATAAATCCAAGAAACTCAGGAAACCTCAAGCAGGATACATAGAAAGAGACTATACTGTAATCTGCTGAAAAATAAAGAAAAAAATTTTAAACAGCTGCAGAAAAAAATACATTAACTACAGAGGAACAGTAGTACCAGTGACAGCTGACTTTGCATCACAAATGGAATACAGGTGACAATGGAATAATATCTTAAAGGCTGAAAAAGAAACAACAAAAAAACGCTGTCAACTCAGAATTCTGTATTTAATATATTCTAATATATTCTTCATAAATGAGGATGAAATAGAGACATTTTATTCACCACAAGTAGACCTGTATCACAGGAAATGTTAAAGGAAGTTCTGCATGTTGAAGTGTTAATAATACTAGATGGAGATTTAAACCTACAGCAAGAAATTAAGTGCATTGGAAATGATAAATGTAAAAAAAACTATTTTCTTTTAATTTTTTAAAAATTCAACTGACCACTTAATGGGGAAAAACACATTGTACTGTGGGATTTATTATGTATATATGTAATAAATGTTATATATGTAAATGTAAAATATATGAAAATAATGGCACAAAAATGGAGTTTAATGTAAATTTACTATCATGAGGTTCTTATGACCTTGAGAATAACCACACACACACACACACACACAAAGAAAATTAAATGGAATTTTAGCTTTTTTTATTCAGTCAAAAGTAGATAGAAAAGGAGAAATAGAACAAGAAAAAAATAGGAGGGACAAATAGAAAATGAATAGCAAGATGGTAGACTTAAACCCAGCCATATCCATAATTATATTAAATGCCAATGGGCTAAACACTTAAATAATAGAAATTGACAGAAATTGTCAGACTGGGTAAAAATACAACACACAGGTATATTCTCTCTGCAAGAGATGTACTTTAATTATAAAATCACAAATAGGTTGAAAATAAAAGGATGAAAAAGATGAATCCTATAAACAGTAAACATAAGAAAGTGGCTATATGGCTATATCCCTATCAGACAAAGTAGAATGTAAGATGAGGAGAATTCCAGAGATAAAGGGGACATTTTATAATGTTTGAGCATTCTTTCATCAGGAAGAGATAGTCTTCAGAACACATAAAGCAAAAACTGACAGATGAAAGAGAGAAATAAACAAATCCACAATCATAGGTGGAGATTTTAACACCTTTCTTTCAGTAATGATAAAGTAGCCAAAGAACCTAAAGATACATGTAGTAAAGACATTGTAAAGATAGGATGATCTGCACAACAGTGTCAGTCACCTTGACTGAACTGACATTTATACAACACTATAATCAACAATGACACTTGGGGCGCCTGGGTGGCTCAGATGGTTAAGCGTCTGCCTTCAGCTCAGGTCATGATCCCAGAGTCCTGGGATCGGGTCCCGCATCGGGCTTCCTGCTCCTTGGGAGCCTGCTTCTCCCTCTGCGTCTCTCTCTCTCTCTCTGTCTCTCTGAATAAATAAAATCTTTAAAAAAAAACAAACAATGACACTTGGAAGAAGTATACATTAAACATTCACTGAAATGTGCTGGACCATAAAGTCAATAAATTTCAAAAGATTGATACCTTAGGGAATATGTATTCAAAAAATTGGTACATGTGAGATGATGGATGTGTAAACTAACTTTATTATGGTCATGATTTCACGTAAACAAATCATCATGTTGTATACCTTAAACTTACACAACATTATATGTTGATTAAATTTAAATTAAAGCTGGAGAAAAAAGAATTTGTTCTCTGACCACTATGTAATTAAATTACAAGTAAATTTTGGGCACCTGGGTGGCTCAATTGGTTAAGCGACTGCCTTCGCCTCAGGTCATGATCCTGGAGTCCCAGGATCTAGTCCCGCATGGGAGCCTACTTTCTCCCTCTGACCCTCTTCCCTCTCATGCTCTCTATCTCTCATTCTCTCTCTCTCAAAAAATAAATAAAATCTTTAAAAATAAATAAATAAATTACAAGTAAATTTTTAAAAGATATCTGGAAGAACGTCCCTGAAACTTAGAAGTTAAACATGGCACTTTTTTTTTTTAAGATTTCCTTTTATTAATCCTCTATAATACTTCTAGATCACTACAGCTCAAAATGGATCACTACTCTTTTGCAGCTATTTAGTAACACAGAGTAATGGATAAAATCCATACAACAGTTAGAAAAGTTCACATCACCATCAGTTCAGAATATCTGATTCACCAAGCCTACATTATTTAAAAAGAACCATGAGAAATTAAACATCACAAGATTTTTTATTTGTCACCATTAAATGTCTGAATTTTAAACAGATTCTTGGACTGGTGGTTCATATCCATCAGCTTGTTCAACTTTAGCACCAGTCTCATCCCCAGTAGCTTTTCCAGAATTACTACCTTCACCATGAAGCTCCAAGAGCTTTCCCAATTCAAACTTGGGCTTCTTCAGCATTTTTACTTTTCTAACGAAGACATCATGGAGTGGATAAATAGACTGACAAGCTTTTTCTATATCTTTTCCAATGCTGTCTGAAATCAATTTGTTGACCACTTCCTTCAAGTCAGTTGTCTGCACCTCTTGGGTCATGATTTCCATCATCTTTTTCCAAGTTTGACGGACCTGTTGGTGCTGAGCATGAGAGGTCTTCCAAATCTGATTATTGCGTTTTCTAGTAAAACCAACACAAAACAGGGGCACCTGGGTGGCTTAGTTGTTAAGCGTCTGCCTCTGGCTCAGGTCATGATCCCAGGGTCCTGGGATGGAGTCCCGCATCGGGCTCCCTGCTCCGGAGGAGGCCTGCTTCTCCCTCTCCCACTCCCCCTGCTTGTGTTCCCTCTCTCGCTGTGTCTCTCTCTGTCAAATAAATAAAATCTTTAAAAAAAAAACAAAACAGATGAAGCAAATAACCATCAGTAGTCTTGACATCAACATGAGCTTTAATCATGGTCTGCCATTTTTTGACCATGGAGCACATTTTGTCACGGGTAAGATCCATGCCATGGCAATTAGTCAGGCTTTTTGCCCTGAACATCCTTAGTAATTAGCTTGAATTTGCTCAATGCAGTTTCATCATTCTGCAGGTCAGCAGGGCTCACTTCAAAATCACGACCCTTGAGGCCATCAGATGCGATTTTGGTTCCTTGAGTTCTTGTGACTAATGTTTTTCCAATGTGTTTTATATTGAACATAGCTAGTGCTTTCACATCATACCAGTCTTTCTTAGAAAATGTATCAACCACTTTCTTCTTGGCTCCCTTATTGCCACCTTTCGTAAAGTACTTGTTCTTGCCGACTGCCATGGCGCTGCTCAGGGAGCCAAAAGGGCTAAACATGGCACTTCTGAATAACCCATCAGTCAAAGAAGAAATCACAAGGTATATTAGAAAATATTTCTAACCAAATGATGATGAAAACACAATATATCCGCATTTGTGGATGCAGCTAAAGTGATGCTTACAGGGAAATTTATTATAGCATAAATATTTTATCTTAAAAAGAATTTTTAAAAACCAGTAATTAAATTTCCACAGTAGGAAGCTAGATAAAGAAGAGCAAATTATACCCAAAGAAAGTAGAAGAAAATAAATAACAAAGGTAAGAGCAGAAATCAATAAAATAGAAAATAGACAATTAGAAAAAATTAACAAAGCCAAAATTGATTATCTGAAAGGTTTATTAAAAGTTATAAATCTCGGGCGCCTGGGTGGCTCAGTCGTTAAGCGTCTGCCTTTGGCTCAGGTCATGATCCCAGGGTCCTGGGATCGAGTCCCACATCGGGCTCCCTGCTCGGCGGGAAGCCTGCTTCTCCCTCTCCTACTTCCCCTGCTTGTGTTCCTGCTCTTGCTATCTCTCTCTCTGTCGAATAAATAAATAAAATCTTTAAAAAAGAAAAGTTATAAATCTCTAGGAAGATTGACAAAGAATAGAGAAAATATAAATCACCAGTACCAGCAATGAAAGAAGCAACATCACTACAGTTTCTAAAAGATTAATTAGTCACTATCAAGGACAAATTTAGGATATCAAATAATTATGTTTTATACCTGAAACTAATATGTTATATGTCAGTTATACCTCAATTTTAAAATGTTTTTAATTAAAGAACAAATTTAGGCTAATAAATTTGACAATTTAAGTGGACTGATCCCTTAAAAAACCTATAAAAATCACAAAAGATGAAATAGAAAATTTGAATAGTCTTGTATCTCTTGTATAAATTAAATTCTATCAAATATTCAGAGGAAAACATAAATCTTTCAAAAACAGAGCAGGAAACATTTCTCAAATTGTTTTTTATGAGAACAACATGGCCGTGATACCAAAATCTGACAAAGACATTAAAAGGAAAGGAAAAGGAAGGATTTGCATGGAAACAAGAAAGGAAAATTAAAGACCAATATCCCTTATGAACATAGACACAAAAATCCTTATAAATTGAATCCAGCAAATGGAATTAATCCTGGGAATGCAAGGTTGGCATATTTACCACATTATCACAGGAATACAAGGTTGAGTGTAATTCACCACATTGACAGAACAAGGGAGAAAAATCATATGATCATCCCAATAGATGAAGAAAAAGCATTTGACAAAATTCAACATTCATTCATGATAACAATTCTTAGCAAACAGAGAAGGGAACTTCCTCAATCTGAGAAAGGCATCTACTAAACATGTTCAGCTTGGTGGTGAAATAATAAATGCTTTCCCCTCTGAGATTGGAAAGGGAGCAAGAATGTTTGCTCTCACTGTTCCTATTCAGCATTGTTTTGGAGGTTTTAGCCCATGCAATAAGGCCAAAAAAAGACATAAAAGACATAAGGATTAGAAATAGTAAAATTGGGGTGCCTGGGTGGCTCAGTACGTTATGCTGCCTTCGGTTCAGGTCATGACCCCAGGGTCCTGGGATCAAGCCCCACATCAGGCTCCCTGGTCAGTGGGGAGCCTGCTTCTCCCTCTGCCTGCCACGCCCCCTGCTTGTACGCTCTCTCTCTTTCTCTGTCAAATAAATTTTTTTAAAAAAGAGTAAAATTGTCTTTGTTCACAAATTGTATTAATGTTTCATAGGAATCTATATTAACAAGGAATCTATTTTAAAAAGCCTACTATAGCTAATAAGTAAATTTAGCAAGGCCAATATGCAAAAATCAGTTGTATTACTATATAATAGCAGGAAACAGTTGGAAATTGAAGTTTAAAAAAATTCCATTTCCAATAGCAGTCAAAACATAAAAGAGTTAAGAATAAATTTAACAAGATATGCAAGACCTTTACAGTGAAAACCACAAAATGTTGCTGAGAAAAATTAAATAACTAACTTGATGAAAAGATACACTACATTCATGGTTGGAAAACTCAGTATTATTAAGGTGGCAATTTCTCCCAAAAATAACCTGTTGATTCAGTACAGTGTCGATCAAAATCTCAATTGACTTTTTTTTTTTTTAGATTTTATTATTTATTTATTTATTTGTCAGAGAGAGAGAGAGCAAGAGTGTGAACACAAGCAGGGGGAGCAGCAGGCAGAGGGAGAAGCAGGCTTCCCGCTGAGCAAGGAGCCCGATGTGGGACTCAGTCCCAGGACCCAGGATCATGACCTGAGTGAAAACAGACAATGAATTGACTGAGCCACCCAGGCATCCCTCAGTTGACTTTTACAGAAAACACAAGTTGATTCTGAAATGTATATGGAAATGCAAAGGCCTAGTCTGGTCAAAGTAATTTGAAAAAGAAGAAAGTTTGAGCATTTACGTTATCTGATTTCAAGACTTAAAAATAACTTATAGTAATCAAAAGAGTGTGGTATTTTTGTAAAGATAGATATATATATACCAATGGAACAGAATAGAAAACCCAGAAATAAATCCACATATACAAGGTCAATTAATTTTCAACAGAAGGCTAAGGATATAGAAACAGATCAGTGGAATAAGATGAAGGGGACAGATCTACCTATATATAGGCCATTAATTTTAGGCAAAGACACCAAGGCAGTTCAATAAGGAAAGTCTTTTAATAAATGGTGCTGGAATGCCTGAATAAACACTGATAAAAATAAACCTCCACCCCTACCTCATACCAAGCCCAAAAAGGTTAATTCAGCATGGATCATAGATCTCTACTCGGAGCTAAAATTACTAAGCTTTAAGAAGAAAACATCAGAAAGTACCTTTGTAACAGTGAGGTAGGCAAAGATTTCTTTGGCATAAAAATCACTAAACATACAAGAAACAAGTAATAAAACTGGACTTCACCAAAAATAAAACTTCTACTCATTGAAAGACACAGGTAAGAAAATGGAAAGACAAACTACAGATTGGGAGAAAATATTCACAATACATATATCTCACAAAGGACTCCTACAAAAATATATATTGTAAAGTACAGTTGACCCTTGAACAACATGGGTTTGAACTGCATGGGATTTTTTTCAATAAATATATGTACAGAGGTATAAATATATTTTCTCTTCCTTCAGATTTACTTAACATTTTCTTTACTCTAGCTTACTTTATTGTAAGAATACAGTATGTAATACATATATAAAATATGTATAAATTGTGTTGTCAGTAAAGCCTTTGGTCTCTCTCTATATATGTATATATATGAGAAAAGTGCTTAGCATCGTTTGTTATCAGGGAAATGCAAATTAAAATCATCGTCAAACACCATTTTATATGCACTAGAATAGCTAAAATTAAAAGAGCTGACAAAGGCAAGTGCTGAAAAGGGTATGGAGCAACTAGAACTCTCTTACATTGCTGGTAGGAATGTAAAATAGTACAATCACTTTGGAAATCTGGCAGCTTCTTGTAAAATTATACATACCTCTGCCCTATGACCCAGCAATTCTACTCCTAATAATTGCCCAAGAGGAATGAAAATATGTCCCAAAAACACTTGTACAAGAATGTTTATAACAACCTATTCATAATACTAAAAAACTGGAAGCAATCCAAATATCCAACAAAATAATCAAAAGAATGAATAACCAAATTGTGGCATAGTCTATGGTCATAAAAATCAGAGCAATAGTTGCCTAGGGGAGGTAAGAATTGTCTGGAAGGAAAGAGAAGGAAAGTTTCTGGAGCAATAGAAATGTTACATATCTTAATTGGGGGTATTGGTTGCCCTAGCATAATGGTTACATAAGTATATACATTTGTCAAAACTCATTGAATTGTATACTTAAAATAAATTTCACTGTAGGTAAAATTTTACATCCAAAAAAGAAAGAAGGAGCTTATATAGTTAAAATAGAAATGGTTATTTCTGTGGACAGTACTATATATATTACGTATATATTTGATTACATATATGACATAAAATTGAATGCATGTTTTTTTTCAACACACATCTACTGTGCATCTACTATGGGTCAGCCATTGCGATAGTTGCTGCTGGGGGTATAAGATAATTAAGAGAAAGTGGTTGGACTCAGAGAACTCAGCATCTAGCAGGAGTCATAAAAGCACAGGAGATAAGTACCAGTGCAAAAATGGATGCTGAGTGCAAAGGAGGGCTGAGGTGATTCTGACTTGTTGGGGTTGAGAGATGGGACCAAAGAGCGAATAAACTCGTAAGGGAAGAGAGGCTTTTGGGTCAAGAGAACCTCATGAACTAAGTAAGGCACAGAAACATGTGCCTGTATGACATGTTTGTAGAATCTTAATTGGCCCAATGTGACTACAGTAACAGGAGAGGATACCGTGATGGGAGACAGCGTACTTTAATAATGGGACCAGATCATACAGGGTCGTAAAATGCCATACTACACGGGCAGATTTATAGGCACTAAGGGGCCACTGAAGGCTTTTAGACAAGAATGACATCAATTCTGTTTCTATGTTTTTAAAAAATGTATCCGCTAGTAGTAAAGAATTATTAAAGTTGGGGAGAGATTAGAGGCAGAAGGAAGAGATAGAAAGGGATTTCAAGAATCCAGGGTCATTTATTTAAAATACTTATCCACTAGAATTTTGTGATTAAGTATTTTTATTTGGCTCTTCTTTTTTCTTTTTCTTTAAAATTAACCATAGGAATCCAGAAGCATTTTGGACCACAACAGGAATGTTTCCCCAAGAGTTCATTATTTGTTTTCACAAACATGTAAGGATTGAAAGGCTTGTAATCCAAAGTTACTTTGGTAAGCAAATAATACATTAATATTCATCATCTTTTAATTTTCCCATAGGTAGAGGGCACATATATAAACTTTGGCAAAACACTAACTTTTCTTTGCAGCATGGAATCCAGTTTTATGGCTGGGGTGGGAAAGTGGGGAGTATGGGTTAACTGC